AGGAATCCTCACCTGGAGTCATCACAGTTGGCTGAATAGAACTTCACTGCCCCTTGGAAAGTAAAGGTAACTTTTAAGACAGTCAACGTGCCCTGCTCCAGCCACATACTGGGAGCTGGCTGGTCAACGCACGGCTGAAGCCTGAGGAAACTCCTCGAGGGGCTTGTCTTAATTGGACTTTGAACTTTGAGAAAAGAAAAGGGAAATGTCACAGGGAAAAGTAAAACTTATATGTATGTTAGCCCACCACCACCGTACTATTAAGGCCTGAGTAGAGAACCCAAGAAAAGTCACAGTCCCTAAAACCTTAGTGCTAAAAAGTAATTAATATTGGCATCTACAGAAACAAGCTGATGTTGAGACCCCAAATTAAAAATATATTGGAGTCTCAAAAGGGGGGAATGAGAGAGGATACTAGAGGGGGGTGAGGTCTAGGAGTACAGGTCTTCTCAGGGAGACCACGAGGATGCACCTGCAGGGCCCTCTCCATGGTGACTCAGCTCTTGGGAATTTATAGACTTAACTCCCTGGAACTTGGAAATTTCCAAGTTCTATGAAATCCTGTAGTTCTGTAGGGGCTGGAGTAGCAGCTCCCACTTGATTCAAACTGGCCAATGGGAAGGGTACCTGTGGGGTGGAACTTTTTGACTGTCAATAAAAAGGGAAAGCCCAAGCCAGTTGGGGAGCACAGCCATTTGGAAATCTGTGCCGTAAGCTCCCGGCCGATGATTAAAGCCCTTCCTCTTATAACTATGGTGTTTGTGTGATCTTTCTCTCCGTTGGGCCTCGTCTTCCTGCAACAATATGGAGGCTCACAGCAGCCTCAAACTCTTGGGCTCAAGCAATTCTCTTGCCTCAGCCTCCCAAGTAGCTGGGACTATAGGTGCCTGCCACGATACCCCACTATTTCTTTTGTTTGTTTGTTTTAGAAGGCCCGGGCCGGGTTCAAACCTACCAGTCCTGGAGCATGTGGCTGGTGCCCTAACCACTGAGCAACAAGCAACCCCCTAGACTAGCTTTTGATTTACTGTGTTATTTAGGATAAATTTAGAAGGCACAGACCTGCCACACACAATGACCACCATGGTCCCAGTGCCATGGCCTCTTGCCTCAAGTCCTGCAGTCATTTCTAACCGAGTTTCTGCATCCACTTTGCTTCATTATAATTCTTCTCCACATAAACCTCAGAATAATCTTTTAAGAATATGTCAGCTTATGCCACTCCTTGTTTAAAATTTTCTAGTTATAGCTGGGCACTGTGACTCATGCCTATAATCCTAGCACTCTGGGAGGCCAAGGTGGGTGGATTCCTTGAGCTCAGGAGTTTGAGACCAGCCTAAGCAAGAGCCAAGACCCCAACTCTACTAAAAATAGAAAAATTAGCTGGGTGTTGTGGTGGGTGCCTGTAGGTCCACCTACTCAGGAGGCTGAGGGAGGAGGATCACTTAAAACCCAGGAGTTTGAAGTTGCTGTGGGCTGGGCTGAGGCCATGGCATCCTAGCCTGAGGCAACAGGGTAAGATTCCCTTGGGAAAAAAGTATCTTCTACTTACTTCCTTTCACATTTAGAATAGAATTCAAACTCCTCACCCTTGTCTTCAAGGCCCTGCACAATGTGTGACCAAGCTCCTGCTTCCTGCTGTGCTTCCTCATCTGCTGTGACCTTTCTCATTTGCAGGCTCTGGCCAGACCACTTCCTACCGGGAGGGCTGCAGGAGCCATTCTTTCTATGGTTCTCCATAGCAGATCCCACAGTTGAGTTTATGTTTTAAAATGCACCGAGGATTTGTTTTAATTTTAGGTATAAGACATGCAGGCATGGCAATGACTGGCAAGAAGAAAGAAATTATTCTTTTTTTTTTTTTTTTTTTTTAGTGACAGGATCTGGCTTTGTCACCCAGGCTGGAGGAGTACAGTGGCTGCCACCATAGGTCACTAGGTCACTATAACCTCAAACTCCCAAGCTCACGTGAACTTTCTGCCTCAGCCTCCTGAGTCCCTGGGACTACAGGCACAGGCCACTACACTAGCTAATTTTTTGCATTGTTGTTGTAGAGATGAGATCTTGTTATATTGCTCAGGCTGCTCTTGAACTCCAGCATCAAGCAGTCCTCCTACCTTGGCCTCCCAGAGAGGTGGGATTACAGGTGTGTGCCAACATGCTTGGATGAAAGAAGTTTATACATTTGCAGATCCCTAGAAGAAGAAGCATGCTATGAAGGCCCACAAGGGGAAACTCAGCAGGGTCAGCTAGGAAGTAAAGGAACCAGGAGGAAAAGGAGCCAAGAGCCTTTTTTTGGTTTCCAAGCAGGTAGACAAGCTTAGAATTGGCTAGTTTGAGTAATTTCTGTGAGTTCTGGGGTATAGGAGCTGTCCTGAGATGTCTTGTGGCTTGCTCTGAGGTGACCAGGTTTTTGCCAAACTCCAAAGGTGTCAAGCCTATGTCTGCTTACTCACTGCACAGGAAGCCAGTTACTGAGATGATGAGTTAATGCCAGGAAGGAAAAAGTTTTATTGCTATTGATGTCACCTGGGAAATAGGAGCTATTTATTAACTCCATCTCCATGACTGACTAAGTGCAAGGCCTTTGACATCAGGTTGTGGAATGCAGGTCACGTTGCATGAGTTTGAAGTTATGGGTCTGCAGGTGGTCTGATTCAAGACTCAGCTGTTGGTAACAGATAGTGAATCATCAGGAAGTCTGGGAAAGTTAGTTAAGCAAGAAGATTATGCTTATTAGGCTTGACTCTGAAAGTGTGAGGTACTGGGGTAAAAAAACATAAAAAACAAATAAAAAAGAACTTAGGGAGGGGGTCATTTTGGAAGGCCAATGACAAGGGCAATAGAATATTGGCCTGGAGTGTAAAAGCCCTGTAGAGGAGGTAGGAGGAGGGAGTGTGGGCTCTGGATTGGGCATGTGCATATGAAAAGCAGGCTCTATCTCTGGAAATTAGTTAACCATGGGAAGAGCAGTCTCTCCCCAGTCAGCAAGGCCAGAGCATCAAAAATATAGACAATAGGTAGGCCTGGTGGCTCATGCCTGTTATCCCAGTACTCTGGGACACAGAGATGGGTGGATTGCTTGAGCTCAGGAGTTCAAGACCAGCCTGAACAAGATCGAGACCCCTGTCTCTAAAAGCAGCCCAGCGTTGTGGCCTCCCAGCTACTTGGGAGGCTGAGGCAAGAGGATCACTTCAGCCCAGGAGTTTGAGGTTGCTGTGAGCTACTGGTATGATGCCATGACACTCTACAAAGGGTATCAAAGTAAGACTCTATCTCAAAAAAAAGCTTGGTGCCTGTAGCTCAGAGGCTAGGGCACTAGCCACATACACTGTGGCTGCCAAACAACAATGGCAACTACAACAAAAAAATAGCTGGGCATTATGGCAGGTGCCTATGGTCTCAGCTAGTGGGGAGGCTGAGGCAAGACAATCACTTAAGCCCAAGAGTTTGAGGTTACTGTGAGCTGTGATGCCACGACACTCTGCCCAGGGAGACATAGTGAGACTCTGTCTCAAAAAAATTAATAAATACAGAAAATAGTAACATATAGTTAATACAGTTTAGTCCTATAAACTCCATATACATCATTGAAACATAGCTGCAGACTTCTGGAAACCATCACCTTCTAACTGGAAGGAGGCTCAGAAGAAGCAGTACTTCTTTTTCCATCATTTCAGATTTTCTTAGTAGTAATAAATTTGACTTGATAATTCTTTCCTAGACTGAGGGATGACAGATCAAATTTTCTTGCTGTCCCTAGTTTTTATTTTTATTCATTTATTGACATATGTATTTACTTTTGTGACAAGAATTTCACTTGCCAATCCTCCAGTCTTTAAAAGGAATCCTTGTAAATGTATTGTCCTTTGCCAGTGTTCTCAACACATTCTGGTAAGCATATGACTCTGAATGCAACTACTTCTGTCAGATGTAAATACAGGCGTAGGTCCTATCAATTCCTTAAAGAGAAGTAATGTGAGAAGAAAGAAGCATTTCACTATTATCTCTGAGAAGCTGTCCCTTTCCAGAATCTTAACTGGGCCAGAAAACCATTTCAACTTATCCTAATTTAAAAAGAGGATGAGATGGAGGAATGAGAGGCTTAAGGAGATGGTGAAGGTATTTAGGGAAATACAGTCCAAAACAAGAAGACAACATGGATGGAGCTGGAAAATGTTCTTCTTAGCAAAGTCTCTCAAGAATGTTATAAAAAGTATCCAATGTACTTGGCCCTATTATGAAACTAGTTTATAGCTTTCATATGAAACCTATTACCTAATTATAGCTTAAGAATATGGGGAGGGGGGAGAGAAAGGGAGGGGAGGAGGAGCGGATGGTGGGGAGGGAGGTAGGGTGATTGGTGGGATCACCTTTATGATTTATCTCACAAGGGTACAAGTGAATCTTTCTAAAAGTAGAACATAAACGTCTTAACACAATAACTAAGAAAATGACATAAAGGCTATGTTAATCAGTTTGATGAAAATATTTCAAATTGTATATGAAAACACCACACTGTACTCCATGATTGCATTAATGCACACAGCTATGATTTAATTAAAAGAAAAAAGAGGACAGCTTTCTCTTCTACACAAGGAAGAGAGTTTTCTAAATCATCTTTTGCTGCAGCCTGCATTAATTTGTTGTTTCATTGACACATTTTCCTATGTCTTCACTTTATTTTTGCAATAGCAAAACATCCCCAGCTAATCAATACATATTAAGAGTTTAGAGTAATAGTTAGAAATTTTTATATCATAGAATCTTACAGTTGTAGAAATGTTAGAGGGTAGAAAATTATGTAGGAATTAATTATGAAAGGTAGTTATAAAGTAAATATAGGTAACTTATTCTAGACATCTTGTGTTATTCATTGGTAATGGATGAATAAAAACATAGTCCTTTAATGATATCGTTTGAGTCAAAGATACTATTTTCCCTCTTCTTCTTCAAGAGAAATATATGAACCCCAAATTTCACCTAACAGAATCTCTCACCTGCACATCAGGTCAGTAATCTTCATTCTTAATTAGTTCTGAAAGTTAACATCTTGTTAAGAGCATAGAGAGTCCACAGTTATTTTCTGAGGACAGCGTGGATTGCAAGGTCTTATGTTGCCAGTTGTATACGCAGGATACTTCTCAGGCTGTAAGAAGGAAAAAAAGTATGACTGACTTTAACATTGGATATATTGGAATGTACACAATTTTGAATTGACACAAAATTGTTAATATAATAAGCAACATATTTTGTTATGGTGCCAGGTTTGGATAGTTTGCATCTCTTCGACTTCATCACATATTTAGTTCCTTGCTGTCTTTTTTGCCCCACCATCCTCACTTGTCTCTGAACTTTGACTCTTTCAGGATGGATGCCACCATCTTCAGGCATCACAGCCTCATCTACAGATGTCTCACAGCTGGAGAAGAGAGAACACCCACCTTCCCCAAGTAGCTTTTTAAGAGACAAGGGAAACTTGCAAAGACTTTTCTCTCTTATCTCCTTGACAAGAATTGTGTCACATGGCCACCCCTAACCTAATCCATAATAAAGATAAAGGTTACCACTGTTGGCTGAAACTAATCTTGATTTATACCCTGAGGGCTGGAGAAAAGCCCAGTCTCTTTTGAAGTTTTTAGTCCACTAATTTATGAACATATCAACAAAGATTAGGAGGGGAACACAAGATGTAGGGCAGACACCCCATGAAGGGGCAGTGTGTTTTGATAGTCAGTGGTATACAGAGAGGGTTTATATTGTCCTCAAAAAAAAAAAAAAAAAAAAACTAATAAGGAAATCCTTATTATTCACAAGTTATTTCAAACATTGAGATAAAAGTTTTTTCATTTCTACTTGGCCTTGTGTATTTTTTTAGATAGAAGTAAAATCAGTCTGATCTCCTTTTCCTGTGCCAATTGTCTGAGCGTAGTATTCAAATATAGCTCTCCTGAGACTCCTAGGTTTTTCCTTCAAGTCCCCTCAGCCTTTCATTCCTTATGATTTCCTAATTCAGTGCTATGTCTTCTCTACGCATATGTCTCATTTCTATTCAACTCCTAACTAATGCTATGAAACTCAACTTTCAAGTCTTAGCTCTGGAGAGCCTCTTCAAATCCCCCATGGCCAGTAAGTACTCTGTGTTCTGGCTCCCCCTTCCTCCATGCCCATATTCATTGAGCTCCATGTTAGTATCAGTCAAAAATGTTATCAAGAGTCTATGGGTACAAGAATCATATGAAATAGGTATTAATTTTATCTCAACTTGAAGTTGAGATAAATGGCACAGTGGCTCATGCCTGTAATCCCAGCATTCCGGGAGGCCAAGGCAGCTCAAGTGTGGATCGCTTGAGCTCAGGAGTTTGAGACCAGCCTGAGCAAGAGCAAGACCCCATCTCTAAAAATAGCTGGGCATTGTGGTGAGTGCCTATAGTCCCAGATACCTGGGAGGCTGCAGCAAGAGGAACTCTTGAGTCCAAAGAGTTGAGGTTGCTGTGAGCTATAGTATCATGGCACTGTACCAAGGGTGACTGAATGAGACTGTCTCAAAAAGAAAAAAATTATCTCAAGTTGATAGATGACAACACTGAGGCAGAGAGAGATGAGCAATTTGCTTAGGTCATGAAGTGTTTAAATGGTGGGGCCGGGATCCCAAACCAGAATAATGACCCTTGTCCTGGCTCTTCACATTCTTACCCACATCTCCAGAGCTCTCCTTGTCCCATGGGTAGTACACAGTGAAAACTTCACAAATGTTCATTAAGTGAATGAAGGAATGAATGAATGATTCATAGTCATTCTCGTCTATATGACATAACTAATCAATTTTATTACTCCAAGTTTTTGGAGCACAACAAAATAAATTGCAGATGTGGAAAATAATGTCTCCCCCAACCCCAAGATATCTATATATCCTAATCTCTAGAACCTTTGAACATGTTATCTTATACAGCAAATTTTGCAGATGTTATTAAATTAAGGCTTTTGAGATGAGATTATTGGAGATTATCTGGGTGGGCCCAATGTAATCACAAAGACCTCAGGAGAAGAGGCAGCAAGGACAGTCAGAGAAGCAGGTGTGATAAGGGAGATGGAGGTTGAAAGAGATTTGAAGACTCTATGCTACTTGCCTTTTCTACGGAAGGAGGGATGATGAGCCAAGGAATGGAAGTGGCCTCTAGAAGATGGAAAAGGCAAGGAGAAAATCGCCACCTCAGGACCTCCAGAAAGAACAAAGCTGTGCTGATACCTTGACTTCAGACTTCTGATCTCCAGAACTTTAAGAACATTAATTTGTGTTGTTTAAAAGTATCCCTAAGTTTGTGATACTTTGTTGCAGCAGTGGAGAATATTATAGTATAGATACTTTAGAGACTTTTTTGAACTGGTTAAAATGTTTCTATTAATGACAGCTTATATCCGTGGTGTAGTCCTCTGGATACTGACTACATTGTGATTTCATGCTGCAGGTAAATTAATCTGAAAACATAAATTGTCTCCATGTTCACTCTGGCTTTCTTCTTTACAGTCTCTTTAGTTGGCATCTGTCCCCTTATGTTGCAAAACACTTCTGGAGTGTCAGCACCACACAGGTTCCTGTCGCTGGCTTTCATTGAAGCTGCTTCGAACGAAGTTTGTCTCTCAAAATTAAGGCCATAGTGGCCTGGAGGCCAATTCATAATAAATAACACATTTCCTGTATTCTCTGCACTGCCTTCTCATCATCAAGTCTACATGATGTTATTTGTTACAGAAATGGACACAACCTTTTAGAATCTAAATTTGTAAAGCATCCATAAGAGAAAAAAGTGATTTCAAGTCAAATCATAAAGCATCTCAATGTCAAAGCATTTTAAATTCTGACAATCAGGCATCAGGCTTCAAGTAACTGGACAATTACACTGAGTGCATAAAATATTTATTATTGTAGTTTTGTCCACCTACTTACAACTTTGTATTTTATAAATAACCTGGTCTTGTTATTCCTCCTGTGAAATAGAGACATTATCCATAGCACAGTCCCATAATATCATTTTAAATAGGTCAATTGGTATCCAATTGACCCCTATTTGGTATCTAATTATGCAAGGACATTTTTTGCTTATCTGTGGTGGTGTACATCACAAAAATTATGCAGGACATTTTTTTTTCTTTCTCCTCAGCTTTCCTTAGGGTGAGTGTTTTTAACATGTGACCCAAGACAACTCTTCTTCCAATACAGTGCGGAGAAGCCAAAAGTTTGGACACCCTGGCTGGCACATGTTTCTTAAAGTATGGCCCTTAAAAAAGCATCAGCAATGTCTGAGAGTCTATTACAAGTTTTTTTAAAAAAACCTCAGGCTACACCCTAAACTTGCAGAATCAGAAACCCTGGGGCAGAAGCCAGCAATTTGTTTTAGGGCTGGGGCTATCTTAGGTGATCTGGGTCAGAGTGTCAGAGCATTAAACTCTCTTTTAGCAAAGTCATTTTCTAATTCAGTGGTTCAAAATCCTTGGGTAGAATTTTCTTCTATAAAAATCTGAGTACATGCATGATTTATTTTAAGCAAAGAAAGACATGACAATACAAGAAAAATCTTTAAGAAAAACAAGAGAAAAGATTATTTTCTGCATAAAGCAAATCATCAATTCCATATTTCCTGATGCTCTTAGGAAGTTATTTCCTCTTGTTTTTACCACATTCTATTTATGTCTAATAGTTACCATACTACAATAAATATATTGCTTTACATGTCTGCTATGGTTTGAATGTCTATATTCCACCCAAAGTTCATATGTTCGTACCCAGTCCCCAATGCAATGCTATTAAGAGGTGAGGCCGTTAGGAGGCAGTTGGGTCATGAGGACAGTACTCTCATAAACTGGATTAGTTCCCTTATAAAAGAGGCCCCAGAGAGCTCCCTCCTGCCGGTGCTGTCTACAAGAAAATGAGCCTTGCCAGACATTAAATGTACTGGCATATTGATCTTGAACTTCTCAATCTCCAGAACTATGAGAAATAAATGTTATTTATAAGCTGCCCAGTTTACTTTACTCTGTTATGGCAACCCAAATAGGCTACGACATTGTCTGCTAGTCTGCCAGCATCATCAAGGTAGGACGTGTCTGTTCACCACTGTATTCTCTGGACCTAGCCCAACACATGACACATGTACAGTCTCAATTAACATTGTAGTCTGAATGCTTATTTCCCCCACACCATCTCTCAAGGCCGCAACTCCAACATCTAGAACTTTTGTTTGTCTAATGCCTAGAATGCCACTATGCTAGACATATACTGGGTTCTCATTAAACATGTAAATGAATAAATGAATTAAATCATGATGTACAAATCAAATTCCATTACCATATTCAGTTTACATTCTGATATAAAGTTTTTCTGAAAATAAGTAGGCATGGGCTGGTGCCAAAGAAATTTCTGTTGCATTAAGACTTTGCAAATATATTTGGTGTTAGATAATTTAGATTGCACAACATACTTCTGTAGAAATGAAGAAAAGCCAGCTGGCAAAACCGTTCAGACATTAACCTGAATTTGGGCCAGAATCTATTTTATCATGTCTGAACTAAAACACAGAGCATAAAATAATGACTAGTCATATTAAGTAGAGTAGTACCTCTGTACATTGACCCCCTAGGGGACTGTAACGACTGGTCAACATATGGAGGTGGCCAACATAAGAAACTAGGTCTACTATTCTGATATGGATATGTGGTGCATGTCCAGTCTATGAAAATTAGGTCAACTTAAGGAGGTGGTCAATGTAAAGCAACTATGGAGGCTATATGTACTTACATTTCCTATAAAACTATAGGAAATGCTGATAATACATGATTCCAAGAACAATACAGTAATGAGTTTATATTAAATCTGTCACTGCAAGTTTGCCATGCAATTTTCTTCTAAATATATTTCTAAATGGGACTTAATTAAACTAAAAAGCTTCTACACAGCTAAGGATACAACAATCAAGGCAGACAGCAACTTTCAGAATGGGAAAAAAGATAATTGCATGTTACAAATCTGACAAAGGACTGACAACCACAATCTACAGAGAACTCAAATTAGTCAGCAAAAAAAGAGCAAACAATTCCATTATCAATAGACAAGAGACATGAACAGAACCTTCTCTAAAAAAGACAGATGAA